TTTTAATGAACTATGTCACCCTCTTTTTGTTTTTGTTTAGGATGATCTTCTTTGGTTTTGTCTAACTCGCTTGTCTAACTCTATTTAAATATAGAGTAAAAATTTTGATATAGTCACTATAGAAAAAGTATTAACTATTTATTGAAATTTTATAACATATATATAAATTGATACATACCTATTGATTCAATCATTAAAATTTTTGTTTTAATATAGAGAATATATTTTGTTTATTTTAATATATAACTGTTGGTTTAAATAAATATAAATTTGAAATCTGATTTAAGATATGGAGAATATATTTTTATTTATTTTAATATTATTAGAGACTGAGGTGTAAGTTGAGAGTGTGTGAAAGACTGAAAGTGAAACTTAGAGAGGGAGAGCATGTAAAATGTTAGGAACTTAGGTTAGAGTTAAAAAAAATAAATGAAGAAAAAAATTATTGTTAGCGGGTTTAAACAGGCCGGCCCGTTTATTTTTTAACCTTACAGAACTAGTCCTTTTAAGTCCAAGTTCTTTTTAAAGATCTCAAATTACAAGCCTAGCTCTCAATTTAAATGAGATTAAATGGACTTGCCCGACTTTTTCTGGCTCTACTCTTCCTCTCCTCTATCCTCGTTTTCTTTTACAACCATTAGATTAAAATTCCAATAGTATAAAGATAAATATCATTGTGAAAATAGATAAATAATTTTAAACTATTAAAATCTAATATGATCAATTCATTGCTATAAATAGAATATTTTTTCCCAATTTTTTTGTGATAGTTGTAAACTGTTCAGGTAATATTTTAACAGTTTAAAATTTATGTATTTTTTTAATAATATTATTTTTCTAAGATGTTATATCTGAACCAATAAAATTTTGATCTAATAGTTGTAAAGAGAAAATGAGGATAGTAGAGAGAATCCAAGTCCTCAGTGTCCCAGTCTTGTCAGTGTATTAAAAAAGGTTGTAAAAAAAAAAAAGAAAACATGTATTCATAATGAAATACTCTTTTTCTAATACAAGTTTCATACTTTTTTTAATTTCATGAGTACGATTGATGGAGTGATTTTTTTTTTTTTAAGAAAGGAATGTGATCCTGCTACTACTTGTTTTCAAAACAATTAAAAATTTTTATCCAGAACTACGGATTACATGTCTTTTGATCTTGATTTTTCTTTTTAATTTCTGTAGATTTAATAACACTAGACGCCGTACCCGTTGACTCATCGGTGGAGAACAATAACTAGATGGGACATTTTCATGCTAGTATCAGGCATGCTCCCCCTTATTTGCTTTCTTCTCATTCTCGTCACATTCTAACGTTTCCAATATTACCATACTTTTGTACGGGCCCCTTTTTTTTTTTAGCACAATAACAGTGAAGATGGGGTGTTTGGATGGAATTAAAACCATAATTTTAAAAGTGTTTTTATAGTATAATAAATAAATATATGGAGGAGTTTACCTTGTTTTGTGAAAAAAAGTATTTTTTAAAAATACTTTATATGTTCTCAAACACCCCTGTGACAGAGAGATGAGAGAGATCAAGAAGGAAGAAGACTTTGAAAGAGGGTTTAAAAAAAAAAAGCCAAGAGTAGAAACGTCAAACCTGCTATGACACCATCAACATAATCTCCATGACGGGAAAAAAATGGGAAGAGAAATCAAAAGGTGAAAACTTTGAAAGAGATGATTACGTGCATTCAGACGCGGAAGATCAAAAGATCAAAATGAGCAAATATAACATATGTAACAGCAAGCAGAGGTCTACCTTATTCATGAACATATTGCAACGAAAAAAAAAATCAGAAAAAGGGAAGTTACGTTGATACCTCACCAAAAGCCCTGGATATATAATTTTTTCCTAGCTAGCGATGAATCTAGAGGTCTCAAATGTCTTGTTCCTGTTACAAGAAAATAAACATATTTCCTATTGTTGCGTCTTGATCTGCACCTCAAACTACTTTCTAATAGGGCTTGAACCTACAAATTCAAACTGATGAAGATAATATTGAAGAAGAGAAGAGCGAAAGATATCACCTGCCATATTGCTAGCACGGCTGTTTTAGCAAACATCTGCAGCAGGCCAGCATATTTATATCATAAGGAATGACTAATAAGATGAGATCCAATCATACTGAAACTGAACAATCTTATCCCAATAATTATATTAAATGGTCAAGTAAATCCAATAAACACGCATCTCAATTACTAAAACCGAACAGTCTCATTAGAACGATTAAATGGCCAAATAATAAAATGCAGTGAACACACACAACTTGATCATGCATTACTGATTAAGCACAACTACCTAATTAAGCGTCATATAGCCTTCCATTCAAGGACCCATTATAAGAAATGACTTAAGCATATTAGGTGGTGATTTCTTTAGCATCTTATTGGCTATTTCTTGTTGATGTAAGCGTCTTTTTTCAATCTTGATGCATGCATCTGTATTGATAATTTTATCTTACAATTATGGTTACTCTTCCTGAAACCTGAGCCAAATAAATAAGTGGTTACTCTATAATATTAACATTTTAGTGCTTTAATATTTTGTTTTTAATATTTTAATAATTATTGAAAATGCAAATACATGCACCAACAATTAAATGAGATGGGCCAATAGATAAGGACTATGTGACCAATCATAGAACAGCCACAGGGCTTATAAGTTATAGAGATAGATAGATACTTTTGCAGTACTTGAGAATAGCCCTGAACACGGAGGTTTTTTCCCTAATTTATGGAATGTAATGTGAAAATATATTGTCAACTTAAGTCATTATTTAGTTTTATTATAATACTATTACGTAGTTTCCCATTTGACCAATATTTAGCGGGGCCCAACCAATCCATGAACAGCAATTCTATTAGTGCACGCTTTCCGGCAAAATTACGCTACAAGATACCCTTTATGATAGTGAACGTATTTGGAGCGCCAGATTCATCTTATTCTTAACCCATTAAATTTAGAACAATGCATAACATCAGCACCTAGTTTCTTTTGGCCATGAATATGCATCGCCACCTGGTCAGACTTCATGAAACCTCTTACATTATTGTTTTTAATATAAGAGATAAATAAAAATTTCATTTTCATCCTCAAATATAATATCTCAAATTATTTTGTCTCCTAAATTTATAATTTTCTTCCTAAAATATACTTATTGATTGCCCATGTTAAGGGATTTTAATTATTAAGAAGTAATTCCATTGCATATGATTAATAAGAATATTTTTAAAAAACCAATATCTATTTATGATGAATTATTAACTTAATTAATTTTCTTAATACTCTTAAACAGTTATCATCTCTGAGGACCCATTCAAACTCAGCTAAACCAAAGCACCGCCAAAAAGTGTTGACAAAGTAAGAGAAAAAAGATATAAAAGAAAGACGAGAAAGAGAAAGGAACAAAAGAATTCCAGGTGTGTCACTTGCGTCACTATCGTGGGCGGAAAAGGTTTTGCTTTGGATATGATAGCTTTCCTCAGTCCAGTGATTCGAAAGCATTTGTTTTTCCAATTCATGGCAGAGATGTTAAAGTGTTAGTTCAAATGAAAGGTACTTGGGTACCTTAAACATTATGTCCAAGGTTTGATTCCTGAGGTAGTATGTATAGAAAAAATACTATTGGGAGAGGTTCCCATTACGGCGCCTGATAGTATTATGAAACCTTAGTCTCTTACTTTTTGGATGGAAGGATACTTTGAGCAACAAAAAAAAATGGTAGAGATGTTAACTCAACTAATCCTCCCTTTCTTTTCCTGTTTTATTACTCCCCAACCCCAACCAACCTCCTTCTTTCTTGGGACAAAATCTCAACATCCTCGTCATGCCCGCGTAACCCGTCATCTTCTTCACCAACAACCTCGGAGAAACAACTAGTAATATCAACAATTATCCCTTTCTTTCTGTTATGCGTTTGTTTCTCCGGCTCTTAATTTGGGGCCATTCCACTCCGAAACTAGCACAATGTATGCAGATGAACGAGAAGCTAGCTAGCTATCATCCGGATCGTATGGAAGAAAACTGCAGAAACCAAGAACAAATACCAATATATCATAAATCGCAGGTCGTCACAGAAGTAGAACTCAAACGCAGTACTTTGATAATGAAGCAATTAATTAATGCGATGGGGGCCTCTGGTCAGAGTCGTTTAATTTTCAAGGGTAGAAATGATCATCAACACTTGTTTCTCTCATCTTTATATGCATACATGTATCCTCGGTTTCTGTTATGTATAATTCCGTAAGAATAGAAATGCTGTCAGTCCAGCTGGATATCCCTCAAGCTGCCCACATCCTTAGAGAAAATCTTCCCTGCTTTGAGCAGCCGGCTCCAACAACGTCAGATTCGGGAAGGATCTTCTGATCACGAAGACTGAAAACCCGGCCCCTTGAAAGCCGCCCCGTTCAATATGATACACTAATAAGTATAGTCCATTAGCAATTGTTTCATTTTAATATTGTGTTATGGAATTCCAAACCCTCATCCAGATGCGAAATAACTTAAGCGCATAAAACATGTATTTTATATATCTTCCTCCCTTTATTCTTATAAAAATGTGTGTTACTGAATTAGATCCCTCTGATGCACAAGCAGGAACGTCTCTCCAAAGGGGATCATCTAATTTCAGGGACAAAAATCAAAGAGGATATGCTTTTTATAGTTATATAATCATAACTCTTTAATTATTATAAGTGGCCCACTAAATATATATTATATACTTTAATTTATGCAAATTATGTACATGTATTTGAACTGGGCATAAAATTAATCAATACTTATATTGAAAAGAAATACTTGAAGAGAATTTTAGATGTACTATCCACGTTGTGCAGACAAATATGGGCTTGGTTTATTATTCTTGAGGTTAGATATTCTTGTTCCATTAAACACGGGTGAAAACAAGAACATATATAGTAAGAGACAAGTCAGAAAGTCTTGCCTTTATATACCCCGAATGAACACACAGAATGAAGCCTCACTCTTCACAATTCACAAGTCTCTCACAAAAATCCTAGTCCCATCCGACTCTGCGATCCATCCATCGGCTTTAGCAGCAACATTACTTCCCTTAATTTTACAATCCACCGCACGTGCAATTGAATCTGTCAGAGACAAACTAATAAGTACGTACTTAGCTTGTTAATCAGCCCTTCCTTCATCCTCTACTTGTGCTCCGCCATGAACGACTCATCACAGGATGTTTACGAGTATCTGATGAATAAGAGGAAACACAGCACCGGCTCCGAGGAGTCGAGAACGGGAAGGAGAAGGTTGAAGAAGGAAGGAAGTCAAGAGAGCAGCAAGAAAGGATCATCAGTGTCGACAGCTCTGAAGCTGTACGAGGACCCATGGAAGATAAAGAAGACGCTGACGGAGAGCGATCTGGGAATCCTGAGCAGGCTGCTGCTGGCGGCGGACATGGTGAAGAGGCACATTCTGCCTATGCTGGGAGGTGAAGGCGCAAGAGCCGCAGAGAGCGAAGAAGGAACGCAGGTTAGGGTTTGGGACACGGACACCAAATCCATGCACCAGCTGCTGCTGAAGCGGTGGTCGTCTTCAAAGAGCTATGTTCTGATCGGCAAGTGGAGTCAGGATTTCGTGAGGCGGAGGGAATTGAAGAAAGGCGATGAGATTGGCTTCTACTGGGACCCATATACCTCCCTCTTCAACTTCTGTGTTCTTAAGCGCGCTAATGGCTCTTAGTTAAATCTACCAGAATGACATATATATCCGTAGACATATATTATAGATAGTATTTCTGTTTGTAGCGATTGATCTTTCAGAAATTCCTACTTCGCCGCATTACTATCTCTATGTATGTGATCCTATTTTTCCAGTATATTCACACATCCACTGATGATGCTTTTGTTGGTAGATTTGATGGGAGCGTCCTTCTTCCACACTTCATTCGTGTAAAGGTAACAATTACACAACCGCCGATCGAGACTGTTATGCGTTCATATATATTGATGTACGTACGTGTATAGAAAATTATACTAACTCCGCATATTACTTTGATTAAGAGAGCTTCAGATGCTTGCAACTCCCTGATGGGATTCAATTAAAGCTCCTTACTAGGCAAAATATGTTAGTTTTATACTCTCAAATTTCACATGCATTGTTTTTGGCGTCTTAATTGCTGCGAGAGAACAATCTGAAAACTAACTTGACGGGATGAGTTAGCATTTCAGTACGTTGATTAATCAGTTTGTCACAACTAGAGCCGGAAAAGGTGCGCAATTACAGGGGCGGGAAGAAAACTAAGCATCTTATATACCAAAAACAAAAAAGGAAAAGAAGGTAAAGAAGAAAGAAAACGAGACGCCGATCTCCCGTTGTGATAATCGGCATCCTAGGAAATGAGTAGTGATTAATTAAAGACTGAAATTCGATCTTTATATTATGTGTGTAACTTTAACATTGAGTGTGGCTGGTGTCTTTGAACCCCTAGCTCGGTTTGAAGGTGTTCTGCTGCTTATGAAAACTTTCTCAGGCTTCTCTTAAGTACATAGGAACCCAAACGGTCTTCTATTGCATGTGATCTCGTACATAGCTTGCATGATTAATATCACCAATGACATCTGGAGTTCATTATACTCCTATATCAAATATAGCTAAATTTCCCATTTTAAAAATATTATCATTAAATTTTAAATCTATATGAAAAAAATAAGACAGATGACTCTATGTAGCTGGAAAATTTGACATAATATTTGGCGTAAATATCTTCCTGTTATGAATATCATTAGTGTATTAATATAAAATACTACCTCTCCGTTCCTTAATATAAGACCTTGTTTAACTTTTATTTTGATCCTAAATATAAGGCCCCCATCCACTTGGTCTCTCATATTTATGTATTTTTTTCAAGATAGTCCTTCTAACAATGATAGTTTTATTCAATACACTTGATTAGCAAGGATATTTTAGGAAAGACAACACCTATTTATTAAAAATAACTAACTTAACTTATATCCTTAATTTCTTCAAATTAGTTAACTAACTCTTATAATTAGGACAAGAGGTAGTATAATATATAGGTACATGATCAAACTGTAAATGTAAATATCTATATGCTGCACAAGTCTCACCTGTAGTTAAAGGTGTGTTTGGATGAAACCAAACCGTGGTTTGGAAAAGTGATTCTGGAAAATAGATTATGGGAAGAATAGATTTTGGAAAGAATAGATTTTATGAAAAAGTAATTTTGAGAAGTGAGAGTGTTTGGATAGTTGTTATCAGAAGTACTTTTTATATATACAAATTACTAAAAAAAAGACAAAAGTTAATATGATAATTATAGAAAAAAATAGATTTTATGATATATTTTAATTTGAAGGAATAAAATTGTTAATAATATATTTTTTATTAACATAATTAATAATACATAAGATAATATAATTAATAAATAATTAATATGTATATATATTTATAAAATATAAGATTAAATATGTTTATAAAAAAAATAACAAGATACATATTCTATAGGCTCTCACACTCTCTCTTTTTTCTCCAAAAGCAAAAAATTTTTGCTTTTTTCAAAACCATGGTTTTGAAGCCAAAACCATGGTTTTTGCCCAAAACCATGGTTTGTGCAAATTGGGTGGGTGTTTGGGTGACTTATCACCCAAATCATGTTTGGAGTGTCACCCAAGGCATAACACCGTGCAGCAAATTAAAAAGGTTGAAATGATATTAATGACGTTGAGGGTACGGAACCCGGCAAAGCAAGATATAAGATAATGAAGAACAAATGGGTCGGAGTTCATTACATGACGCTGTTTAATGGACAAATAATAACGTTCGATTCCTCCGTGCTGGTTGATTGTTTTTATTCCCCCCATTTTTGATGTATGCACATAATTAATTGACGACCTGGAACGCGCACCCTTTTGATCACCTGACGCATTCCTAGCTGAGAATGTAGTTCATGGTCAGAAATAATAATGGAAGATGAACTGCCTTGGCTTCGGATCGATATATGAGTGGCCTCGGAGAAAACACAGGTCACCAACAATGGGAGAGAATCGGCAATAGAGAGACCTTTTTGAAATACCCAATGGCATGGAAGAAACAGATGCTTAAAGTGAAGAGAGGACAAATGTCAAGGACAGCCAAGCCAGAGCCAGAGAATCCAAAGTCATGATGTGAGGAGCTTTCCGTGAGGCCTATAGCTATGCGGAAATGGATCTCGACCCAAACAAAAAGAGAATCTGGGAGGGATTGAGAGCTTTTTCTGAGTGGAGAATGGCTACCTGAGGCAAAGCCAATGAGATGCAACAAACAGATGCTTTGGATTATATTAATAGTCATAGCCACACCCAAGGAATCCAACTCACTCTACAACAGGCCAGTGCTTCCCCACACAATACATCTCTAAACAAGGGAGCCAGAAGAGAACGCCACCCACCAACCTCCACCTTATTTATAATTGACACTTTATAAAATACTATTTATTGGCCAATTTAATATTTTAGCTTTTTTAAAAGCTCTCTTTCTCTATGTAGTATCTCCATCCTCATAGAGATAAGACAACTACTACCTGCAGTCCTAATTATAAGAACTAATTGACTAATTTGAGGAGATTAAGGAAAGAAGTTAAGTTAGTTATTTGTAATAAATAAGTATTATCTTTCCTAAAATATCTTTACTAATCAAGTGTATTAGTTAGAACTACTATTGTTAGAAAGATTACCTTGGGAAAAAATATATAAATATGAGAGACAAAATGGATTAGGGTCTTATATTTAGGATCAAAATAAAAATCAAACAAGGTCTTATATAAAGAACCAGAAGTAGTATTATTATACACTTCATTTTTTGTAATGAAAATTCCCACTCACTGCTCCCGTAGGTTTTTTTTTCCTTTTTTTCACGTTAAACTGTACGCCATCTTCTACTGTATATTTTCTCTTATTTTCCTTCTTTATAATTATTAATTATCTAAATTTGTTTTCTTGCACACTGCAGTCCTAACACTTACTACTATTGGGGTGAAGGCTATTCCTTCCGACCTTCCCACAAGGCCGATTGCCTTTGGTTTTCTTCCCAAAATAAACATAACATGATATAAACAACGGTTGGCCTCGTGGTTTCTTGACCTTACCTTTAAGGGAGTGATAGATGTTAAGGGAGTGATAGATGTGGACCCCTTCTTGTATACAGCAATGTTGCGATTGATAGGCCCGGTCCATTCCAATCTGATTCATTGACACTCACAGTTTTCTTGGAGTTTGCAATAACCCACAACGATGTAGGCCCATCACATCCCTTCTCTTTCAATTCACTCCTTTCTACCTTAGAAGAGTTGACACCGCCCACTTGCCTCATTGATATTTATTTGAAATTGAAATGACACACTAATGAAGCAGTGGGGAATTCGACTACTTGCAATGATCAGTTGGTGAATGAATAAGGATGGGAATAACTGATGAGACACGTATGGATGGAGGTATGCGTGCGTGTGCGTGGAAGATGAAGAATATGTGGTTAATTTTGGTCCTCGTGAAGCAACTGGACGAAGATGCAAAGTCGTGTCTTTTCTACCCCTATTCTTTTGTGGGTGATTTTCATTATTCTAACGGAACATTCCCCCTCGGAAAGTTCAAAACGAAAAAACATTTCTGCTTTACTTAAAAGTTAAAAAAAGAGGCTACGTGTGTATTCACACGATTCTTTTGTATTGCTTTTCTTCCCTCCTCCATTTTGTTCCATCTACAACTGGGAATACGGGCCAGTCAGTTACAACCCGCGGGTTATGCGGTGCGGGTTGCAGTAACCCGCATTTTGGTGGGTTGGAAAAATCCCAACCCTAACTCACCACAGCCCGCTATCTTTTTTTTTTTTTAATTCTCAATTTTCAAATCTTATTTTTATTTAATTTTTTAAAATAATAATTGGTGATCTAAAAGTTTAAAAGCAATCACAAGTATAAATGATGTTTAACCACATTTAAAATAGTCAATACAAATATAAAATAATACATTATAAATATTTAATATAATTAACATTCAACATCAACTCATCAAATGATAAATTTTATAATTTTTTTTTTGTACAAATGCCATGTTTGATACAAAACACTATCTCTTAATAAATTAGAAGTGCATTTATCTAATTTTTTTTAAAGTTTATTTATCATGTTTTCTAAAAAAAAATTTCCGTAATAAATATTGTCTTATATTTGATTGTAGTTATTAAAGTTTTGCTATAAATATAGTATGCTTATTTTTTTAAAAAAAATTTTTGTTTTTACATATGTATTATGTAACATGAAAATTAAAATGTAAATAAAAGAAAAAAATTTTCAAATATAATAACATATTATTTATATAAAAAGTTTAAAAAAAAAAGTGGCGGGTTAGGCGAGCCAACTTGCCAACGCGTGGGCTAGCCCACCACAGCCCGCGGGTTATGCGGTGCAGGCTAGAGCAGCCTGCACCTTGGCGGACTGACCCGTGAGTCCCAACCCATATTTTCAGCTCTAGTTCTATCCTTCTCACTTCGACGTCAACTTGTGGTATTTAAACCCCGTGTTGAATCACGGAGTAGGCAGTTTAATTCCTGTTTTCCATAAGCAGCCCCACATCCTTCGTCTTTATTTGGATCAGCTTTGGGTAAACCAGAGGTTATAAAATTGATTCATTAACATAATTGATTAAATCAAAGGAGGGTGTTTGGATAAATTCTTTGGGAGGTATAACTAGAAAATATGCAATAGAAGCTTATAAGATAATCGCAGTTTTTGGCTTATAATTGATTTTGACATATATAAGGTTGTTTGGTAGTTTATGCAATTTTCATTTCTTTTAAAAGAAAATTATGTGTTGGTTCTGAATTTTGAGGGTTACTAGTTATCGCTTTCTACCACTGGC